ATATACACCATTTTAAAAATTTGGACCAATTTATGTGTAATGGACCAGCAGACTCAGTTTACACGTAAAAACTAATAATGTCAACCCATTTTAATTTTTTTTACCTATTTTACGCATACAATTTAACTAATGTGGACCCATTTTATTTTAATTTTGACCCATTTTTCATGTATATAAACTGAATAATGTGACTATTTTAAAAATAGACTCATTTTACACCTAAAATCTAATGTGGACCCATCCCATGGTTAATTTTTAATGTTTATTTATAAAAATTGAATGAAAATTAAGCAGGACAATCCCAATTGTCCTAAATAACTGGCTACGGCATTAAACACTCTGTATTTGCCCCAATACAATGCCAGTCTCTATCAGTTATAACTTAAAACAAAGTATACTACAGATATATAATCTCACTTTCCTCCTATTTTTATGGAATTAATTGTAGTATACCTCTTGATGCATAATACACAATAAGAAATTTCAATTCATTAATGTGTGAACTTTCAACCCTGACTGCATGCCCATGGTTAAAAGTGTCTTTGTTTCAGTATGTACCAGTTGGCCTAAATATATTATACGAAGCATTATACATTTATGCCCCTATTTTAAAAGAGGATATTGCAAAATAAAATCCATGTACTGACACAGATGTTAGGTCGATAGTTACCGAACAGTTTTACCTTGATAGTCAATGGCATACAGGTACTATTATAAGTTCTGTCCTCAATGTGTGAACAATATAAATAAATATATCAATATCAATTACAGCTTTAGAAAAGTAAATACAGTTTTAACGTTAACATACCACTTTCTGAATCCAAAGTGTAATCCTCATTCGGTAGATAACTGGGATAATAATAATGATAAAAAAAATAATATGATCCAGCTTCCCTATGTCTCCATCTGGATTCTTCCATCGATGTAAACCCACAAAGATCGGAATTTGACTCAAAATCACAATTTAATTCTGATAAGGTTGACGATTGAGTTGGAAGCGGTGCTGAAAAAATAGATTAAACAGTACAGTAATAATAAAGACGAAAATAAAACGTAAGAGACAGACCTTTTGTAATCCAAAATATATATTTGATATTCAAAATAACTATCGTTATATTTCAGATACTGTGATATATATATACGTTTAAAGTATTATGGTGAAAATGTTCAAAATATCCAGAAAATGCAATAAAATTGCTTTGGGCAAGCCTATCTCGCGAAATGACACTAGGGTCCACACTATTTCCCTTATTCCCTTTTTGCGATTTTTCTCATTCCTTTATTGTCGTCGTGGTTGTTTTTCCTTTATTTCTCTTTTTTCTCAAATTTTATTGTTTTGGTGTTTGTTCTGTCATTTTTTTAATATCTATATTTCTATTTGGCTTTTTGCAGCAGTAGCTGGAACAACCATTGTTTTTGTTCTGTTTTTTTCTTTTTTCTTCCATATCGTTTTTTTGTTTTTGTTTTTTTTTGCACTTGGGTTTTCCGTCACACCATGAACAGAGACCGAGGCGCCCATGATCCTCCAGATATCTACAACGATCTCATAATGATTTCACCTGTCCGAGTCCCGCACTATCTCCAAACATCGGAGAACATACGACGACGTCGTCATCGACCAACTCATGTTGTCATGACCATTAATGTGTAACACCTGTTAAAGTCAGTTGAAAAAGAATTGTGGTACAATTCGAAACGTCTGAGTAAGTACGTTTTTTATTCCAATGGTTTTTACAAAAAAGAAATCAATAACTTATCTTATTACCAGTAAAGCCATTTAAGCCAGGTTTCCATAAAAAGTGCTACACCCTGTCGTCAAATCCTATGGCGGCGCTGATTGGTCAGTTGAATCAGAAAGCGTTCCCGATTGCGTCAGGGACAGCTATGCAGTGCAAGGATTGCATTGAAAACGCTGTAGCGACTGATTCGCGTCTCTATGGAAACCGAGCTTTAAACATCAGCACTGCACTAAATACATTTTTTTTTTCATAGGACAATATGCGTGGGAAATTTATAAAAAGGAGCATTATGATATTGGTGTAGGTATGCAGCACTCTCGGTTTTTGTTTTGTTTTGTTTGTTTGTTTGTTTTTTTTTCTTACATATACTTTTTCATTATCTTTTTGCAATTGGGTTATTCCACCCGAACTTTGGTGACTTTCAATGGTTGGTTCCTTTCCAAATTCTGTCGAAGTATAGACCATATATCAAGGATGTGCCTCCTAATATTTCGTGTCAATCTGAAGTGGGGTGTGGATGTGAGGACCAATTAAAGAGATTTATAGGCAAACACTCTATACCAGATATTTAAAAAACTGGTAAACTGACCTGAATACAACTTTTGGGAAGTGTAACCAAGTTACAAGTGAAGACATTATTATGTATTGGTGACGATCCAGTTTAGGGTTTTGATTTAAAATTAAATTTCTGACATCCAAGACCTAAATATCTGTAAAAATTATGCAATGGGTCATAACAGATATCCCAAAAATTGATTAACTGATCTAAATGAAAATTTCTGGGGGGGAAAAATATGTTACGAGGAAGAAATTATTAAATTTTAGTGGCGGCGGTGTGAATTTGAGGGTCACTTAATGTGCAAAGGTCCCATACCTAAATATTTATAAAGTATAATGTACTTAAATGAAATTTTCTAGTATAGTTTGTCATATTTTAATAATGAAATGTTAAAACTTTGGTTACGATCCGAAGTAGGATGTGGATATAAGTACCATTTAAAGAATATTTTTGGACTGGTGATTAAATTATATAAACGTAAGCTGCGTTAACTAACGCGTTTCAAACTAGCTGAAACTAGGTTAAACGCAAAATTACAGTGAAATGTATGAACAGATTTTGCTCTCAATCACTGAATTACCATTATATTACTCAAGGTAGATGAACTGAAATTGCACTTGCCTACACAAGGTCAACTCATATAGCGTGCAATGGTTATGAGACTCGATGTACCTCGGTACTACCATTGCAGCAAGTCTCACTAACGTCGCGTTAGTTGTGAACTTGATCTTCATTTTTGTTTAACTTCCTAATGTTTTTTAGCACAGTACTATAGTATTTTTGTTTTTCGTATTTTTTTTACTTTATACATTTTAATGACTTTTTTTTATCAATAACTTTGCCTCTCATTATAGCAATGAGATATGCATGAACAAGGTTTGCTTTAATCACTGAATCGCTATGAACTAAAAACAAACTAACTTAAGTAGGGTCGACTCATACAGCACGCAGTGGTTATGTGTCTCTAATTCAGCCTCGCTATTACCAGTGCAGCTATAGTTCGAGTCTAACTAACGTCGACATATTTCCCCTTTTATTTTTACTAGCCGTTGTCTTTTTCGAATTTATTTTCTTCTTCAATCCCGTTTTCCTATTTTTTGCACAGAGTTTTTCTGAAGGCACTTAGGTCACTTTCCGCGCTTGAATCTTCTTCAACTAATGTCCAAGCAAAGACCATATCAACGATGTGCATATTAAATGATAACATCTTTTAAATATTACCAGTCATAGTTTGTGTTTTTTTTTTTTACGTCGAGTTGATTTTATTTTATTTTAACTTCATATTCTTCTTCCTAATTTTCTGTATGATTTTATTTTTGTTTTTCGAGTGACTACGTTAGACATTTTAAATTTCAACATTACTCTCATTGTAGCAAAGAGGAAAGCCATATGTTCTGTTTTACAAACAGACATAGTAAGTCTGGTTGTTATTATTATCAAAATAATTGCATTAAAAAAACAACAATAAATGATGATGATGATGATGATGATGATGATGATGATGAAGATGATCATCATCATTATTATTACCAAAATAATTGCATTAAAAATACAACAATAAATGATGATGATGATAATGATGATGATGATGATGATGATGATCATCATCATCATCATCATCATCATCATCATCAACAACAATATCATCAGCATGAACATGATGATGATAATAATAATAATAATAATGTTAAATATGTCATATTTGGAGAAGCATTTTAAAGGCCTAAACTTGAGAATGACAATAATAATAATGATAATATAAATAATACTGATAATATTACTATTTCGTGGGTCTTCGTTATTGATAATATCAATAATGATGGTAATAATAATATAATTATATTTTTAATTAGTAGAATTTAAGATTGTCAATGATCATAATGGTGGTGGTGATGACATTATGAATATCTCAGAACAAAATGAATAATTCATTCGTAATAAAAGTTTCTGTTTACTGTCGTGAGTGGTAGCAAGCCATATGTTCTGTTTTACAAACAAACATAGTAAGTCTAGTTATTATTATCAAAATAATTGCATTAAGAATACAAAAATAAATAACGATGATGGTGAAGATGATGATCATCATTATTATTATCAAATAATTGCATTAAAAATACAACAATAAATGATGATGATAATAATAATAATAATGTTAAAGATGTAATTAACTTACTCGATTGGCACTCTCCATCGTAGACTTCCAAATTGTCTATACCGATGTAGGAATTAAACGGAATCGATCCAACAGTGGCCTTGAATATGACCTGAAAATCGGAAAATGAGACAAAATGAATAATTCATTCATAATAAAAGTTTTTGTTTACTACCGTGAGTGGTAGCAAATACAGTTTTTATGGAACAAAATAGATTGTTTACAAATTAAAAATATACTAATTTTTTTTATGATGAATTGGCTATTTTAAATAAGCGAAGTCTGCAAAAGAAGTGGTGAGAAGGTGTAGTCTGAAAAAAATCAGTATAATAGAGGGACACTGCCTCTACAAGGATGGAAATATCACAAACCTTAATCAAATCCAAATTTGCAATATTTATAGGGAAAAATGATTATAACTAGAGATTATGTTTAAAACAACATGAAATAGTCAGCCATTCCTGGTAAATTTTAGCTCAATTGAATCATAACAATTTTACCGGTAAATTTTAACTTTACTCTCACTCTCTATCAGCACACAAACGGTGAATGTCTTTTTATTCAGTAAGATGAAATGATGTAATAATAATAATAATAATAATAATAATAATAATAATACTAATAATAATAATAATAATAATGCCAGCAAGATGGCACTTTAATTTAATAACGTTTGATGCTAAATTCATGAACATCATAAAGACCTTGCATTATGCGAATGCTATGTTATTTGTGACAGAAGTAGACTTTAAAGCAGGCACCAGAGGGAAATAGTTTTTGATACGCTGTACAACTCATTTTTCTAAGACACAAAAAGCATATTTGAAAAAAAAACTCAGGAGCCGTTGGTGAGATACAGATTTTTTAATATTAAAAAAGAGTGGTTATACCCCTTTTTCTCCAGTTTTAAATATTCAAAAATATGTATCTTATTAACCGTTTCTGAGTTTTTCGTCAAATTTGCTTTTTGTGTCGGTAAATTCAGTTTTACAACATAATAGTCCAGTCCGAAATGTAGCAATATCAGAGGTTGCATGTTTTTTTTGCTATATTTAAAAAAAATTGGATATGATGTAGAGTAGACATTGATAAACCAAAAAAGTATGTGCAACATTTTTTGTTCATACGTAAGGGGGGTTGCCAGCAGTTTCAAAATGGCCGCCATTTTTTCCTAAAATTGTCACTAATATTGTAAGTTTATGTCATTAAAATGCAGTATTCAATTGGAAATTCACTCATAACAATGACAACAACAGCGGCCCTCAGCGGCTTCACACTCGCCGCTGAGGGCGGCGTTCCGGGAACCCTGCGTCCAGAAATCCCAGATCCATGCAAACTGGGCTGGTTTATAGAAGATGGTAAATTGAGACCTGTCTTGTTAGAAAAGCAAGCTGCACATGAAGCAGTTGCTGAGCTTATCAGATGTACCTGTTCAATAAGTACATGTTCAAATAATGCATGCATGTGTTGGAGAAATAATCTTCAGTGTACTGAGATGTGTAACTGCAAAGCGGAAGGGAGTTCCTGCAACAAC